AGGTGAACTAACACTGAGACCTACTCATACTGAGGCCTACTAACACATTGAGGCCCCAGAGCTTAAGTTTAAGCTTAAAATTATTTTCGTTGCTACTCCATAACTGTAATTTTGCTACTGTTATGAATTGTTATGTAAATATCTGATATGCAGGAGTTGTCGTTTCTGGGATTTATAGTTCACCTACAATCAAAGACTATTCTGAACTTCATCAATGATGGAATTGAACCAAACTTGCCACACAGAACTCTCATGACCAACAGAAAACACTAGAAAGGTTTGGTGGGCATCGACCTTGAGTTTTGGAGTTGTAGTTCACCTACATCCAGAGAGCATTGAGGACTCAAACAACGATGGATCTGGACCAAACTTGGCACGAATGCTCAATATGCCCAAAAGTGAACACTGGTGGAGTTTGGGGAAAATAGACCTTGATATTTGGGAGTTGTAGTTGCTGGGATTTATAGTTCACCTACAATCAAAGAGCATTCTGAACCACACCAATGATAGAATTGGGCCAAACTTCCCACACAGAACCCCCATGACCAGCAGAAAATACTGTGGTTTCTAATGGTCTTCGGTGACCCCTTTGACCCCCCCTCGTGAGCCCCCTCCCCCCCCGGGGTCCAGACCCCCAGGTTGAGAAAAACTGTTGTAGAATGAATGCAGTTTTATTCCACTTTTACTGCCATGGTTCAATGCTATGGGGTCCTGGAAGTTGTAGTTTTACAAGGTCTGAAGCTTTCTCTGCCAAAGAATGCCAGGGCCTCACCAAACTATAACTCCCAGGATTCCATAGAATTGAGCCATGGCAGTTAACGTGGCAGTTAAAGTGGTATAATGGCATTTATTCTGTAGTGCAGATGCTCCCTATACTGTTGTTGTTATCATCTTCCTTTCATTCATTTCTATCCCACTTGCTTCCCAGGATTGGAACAAATTAAAAAACATAGAAAAACACCATCTATCTAAATGTGTATACATGGAGATATACGGCATACACAACCTACACACACGTTTATTTTTTCAAAAAGCAATTAAGCTCCAGAAGGGAAACCATTGGATTAAAAATTAATCCAAACAGTACTGTACAGCGAAAAATAACAACAAAACAACACACCGTTACAAGCTCATTGGAGTCGGTTCTGGGTTTCTGGGTTTCACGATTGGGATTTGCAAACTTTGGCACCAAGGTGGTGAGATCGAAATTTTGGGTCTGAGGAACATCGATACCAAATTGGACCCCGAATCTGGGATATTGGGGAGGGGGTTCTGAACAAAGAGGAAGGGGCCTTTGGGGACATGGTTTGGATATTCCCCCCCCCCTTAAATATTATTGGAAATCTATTGGAAAGAAAGCTGAATTGCTCCAGAGTGGTGGGGTGGTCAAGCCTAGTGAGAAGAACAACATGGATCACGTATTAATATTGCATGGTCCGTGGGCCATAATTGGGGGAATATAGAGTTATGGGGCAGGACTGGGATTTTTCTGTGAAAATGGAAGGACCCCAAGGCCATGGGTCAGAATTGGACCAAAACCTGGAAAAGGGGAAAGGTCTGCGGCAGAAATGGGGTCAACAGCAGCACTGAAAATAATCCAGGGATGATTCAAAAGTACCTGGTTTGGGGGGTCTCAGACAAAAATGGAGTTCCTATAGGGCTGGGAAGGTGATTACCTGCAGAAAATGTGAAACTGGGATTGTGGCGCAGCTGGCTGAGTGTCAGCTGCATTAAGATCACTCTGACGAAAAGGTCATGAGTTCGAAGCCAGCCCGGGTTGGATTGGTTTTTCAACCGATTGTGTAGCCTGTTGTCGACCTTTGCAACCCAAAAGACGGTTGCATCTGTCAAGTAGGAAAATTAGGTACCACCTTAAAGTGTGGGGAGGCTAAATTAACTAATTTATGAGGCCATAAAGAAGACTCCAGCAAAGCATTCCAGCGGGGAAGCATGCGGGGAATGCGGAAGTGCTTCATCAGTGTCGCAGATGGACGATGAAAGCGACAGCTCCCTTGGCGGCCAGAAAAAGTTAAATAGCCTCTGTGTATGTCTGTATATGTTGTATGTCAAAATTGGCATTGAATGTTTGCCATATATGTGTACACTGTAATCCGCCCTGAGTCCCCTGCGGGGTGAGAAGGGCGGAATATAAAAGCTGTAAATAAATAAATAATAAGATGTGGACTCTATTCAAAAATGGGGGCTACAAATCAGGACAGGGTGACCTAGTGGGGGGGAAACTTGGTGGTCTCCATTTAGGACTTAGAAGGAGAACCCTTGGAAGGAAGATTGGGTTCAAAGAGCAAATAAAGGGAAAGAGGAAGCCTGTTTCGAATTGGGTTGTGGGCCCGGAAGTAAGAATAGGATATTAATTAAGGGAAAGAGGTTGTGGCTAACAGTTGGTTTTCAGAAGATCTGAAAGGAGAGCTCCAGGGAGGAAGCGGAGCTCCAAAAAGAGGGAAGAGAGAAGTAGAAATCTGCTTCCAAAGAGGTTATGGGCCCAGGTGAGAAAGATTGGCATTGTTGAAGGTACGACATTGTGGTTCAGGGTTGAGGGGAATCAAAAGATTTGGAAGGAGAGCTCCACAAAAGCAGATAAGGTCCTAAAATAAAGGTGAGATTGAGAGAAAACTCTGTTTCCAGTATGATTATGGGTCAAGGAATAAGAATGGGATATTAACGATTGTGACTAACAGTTGGTGGGCACCAGAAGATCTGAGAGGAGATCTCTAGGGAAGAAGATGGAGCTCCAAAAAAAGGGGAAGAGAGAAGTAGAAATCTGCTTCCAAAGAGGTTATGGGTCCAGGAATAAGAATGGGATATTAACAAAGGGAAAGGGGGTTGTGACTAACCGTTGGAGGGCACCAGAAGATCTGAAAGGAGATCTCTAAGGAAGAAGATGGAGCTTCAAAAAAAGGGGAAGAGAGAAGTAGAAATTTGCTCCAAAGAGGTCATAGGCTAGGTGTGAAAGATTGGCATTGCTGAAGGAAAGGAGGTTATGGGTCAAAGTTGAAGGACATCAAAAGATCTGGAAGGAGAGCTCCACGGAAGCAGATAAGGTCCAAAAATAAAGATAAGATTGAGATAAAATTCTGTTTCCAGACAAGTTATGGGCCCAGGAATGAAAGTGGAAGGAAAAGGGGCTATGGGTCAGGATTGGGGTCTTTAGAAGACTCTAGGAAGGAAAACAGGGTCACCAAAAAGGGTAGGATTGAAGTTAGAAATCTGCTTCCAGATGGGTTATGTGTCAGGACTTGGAGGGAGACACACCAGAGGACCTGGAGGGAGAACTCCAAGAGGGAAGATGGGGTTCCAAAAAGGGGGGCAGAGTTAGATATTCTAGGAATGGGCCTGGGAATGAAAGAGCAGCATTGGTGATAGAAAGGTGGCTATGGGTCAGGGTTGGGAGGGGGCTTCAGAGGACTCCAAGGCAGAAGATAGGATCCAAATATGGGGGCTGAGAGTTAGGAGCCTGCTTCTAGAAAGGTTATGGGCCCAGGAATAAGAATGGGATATTAACAAAGGGAGAAGGGGTTGTGACTAACAGTTGGTGGGCACCAGAAGATCCGAAAGGAGATCTCTAGGGAAGAAGATGGAGCTCCAAAAAAAGGGGAAGAGAGCATTAGAAATCTGCTTCCAAAGAGGTCATAGGCTAGGTGTGAAAGATTGGCATTGCTGAAGGAAAGGAGGTTATGGGTCAAAGTTGAAGGGCACTGTTGAAGGGAAGGACATTGTGGTTCATGTTGATGGGCATCAAAAGATCTGGAAGGAGAGCTCTACAGAAGCAGATAAGGTCCAAAAATAAAGGTGAAATTGGGAGAAAAATCTGTTTCCAGACAGGTTATGGGCCCAGAAATGAAAGTGGAAGGAAAAGGGGCTATGGGTCAGGGTTGGGGGCTTCAGAGGACTCCAGGAAGGAATACAGGGTTCCCAAAAGTGTAGGATTGAAGTTAGAAATCTGCTTCCAGATGAGTTATGGGTCAGGACTTGAAGGGGGACACACACCAGAGGACCTGGAGGGAGAACTCCAGGAGGGAAGATGGGGTTCCCAAAAGGAGGGCAGAGTTAGACATTCCAGGAATGGGCTTGGGAAAGAAAGAGTGGCATTGATGATGGAAAGGGGTCTATGGGTCAGGGTTGGGGGCTTCAGAGGACTCCAGGAAGGAAAACAGGGTAGGATTGAAGTTAGAAATCTGCTTCCAGATGAGTTATGGGTCAGGATTTGCGGGGAGGGGGGGCACCAGAGGATCTGGAGGGAGAAATCCAGGAGGGAAGATGGGGTTCCCAAAAAGGGGGCAGAGTTAGACATTCCAGGAATGGGCTTGGGAATGAAAGAGCGGCATTGATGATGAAAAGGGGGCTATGGGTCAGGGCTGGGAGGGGGCTTCAGAGGACTCCAGGGCAGAAGATAGGATTGGGAAAAAAATTGTAGGGTGAGAGTTAGGAGCCCCAAGAATTGAAGAGTAGCATTGATGAAGGGGAGCTATGGGTCAGGGTTGGGGGCTTCAGAGGACTTCAGGAAGGAAAACAGGGTTACCAAAAGGGTAGGATTGAAGTTAGAAATCTGCTTCCAGATGAGTTATGGGTCAGGATTTGGGGAGGGGGGGACACACCAGAGGATCTGGAGGGAGAAATCCAGGAGGGAAGATGGGGTTCCCAAAAAGGGGGCAGAGTTAGACATTCCAGGAATGGGCTTGGGAATGAAAGAGCGGCATTGATGATGAAAAGGGGGCTATGGGTCAGGGCTGGGAGGGGGCTATGGGTCAGGGCTGGAAGGGGGCTTTAGAGGACTCCATGGCAGAAGACAGGATTGAAAAACATTGTGGGTTGAGAGTTAGGAGCCCCAAGAATTGAAGAGTAGCATTGATGAAAGAAAGGGGGATATGGGTCAGAGTTGGGGGGCAGCAAAGGCAAGGCTTCTTATTGGGGGGGGGAGTCTCTTTCCCTTGCACTCCCCTCTTCCCTGTCAGTCGGAGGAGTGGAAGGGGGGAGACGTAGTATCTGAGGGAGGAGAAGAGGAGGAGGAGAGGGAAGGAGGGAGGGAGGCATCAGGCGAGCATCTCTGCAGAAGAAGGAGGCACCTCTGCATCCCTCCGTCTCTGGTCCTGCCGCGCTCCCTTCTTCCTCCTCTTCCTCTGCCCTTTGCCTCCCTTTTTTCCCTCCTCCTCGTTCTCTCAATCTCTCTCTCTCTCTCTCTCTTCCTCTGCTTCCTTCCTCCCTTCCTTCTTCCTTCCCCCTTTTCCCGGAGTCCCAGACACAACACCAGGTAAGGAAGGGTCTTTTCACTTTTGGAGGAAAGAGGGATGATGGAGGGTGGAGTCCCCCGAAGGGAGAGAGGGAGGGAGGGGGGGAGATCTAAAGGAGGGGTGGAGGGAAGGGGCAGAGTCATTCCGAGAGAGGAGAGAGACCCCCAAGTCTGCCCCTTCCCCATCCCTCCTCCATCCATCCAACCATCCATCCTTCTGGAATGTATAGGGAAGGGGGGAGAGAGAGAGAAAATAGCGGGATCCCTCCTTGATCCTACTTAATCCTACTTGATCTACTCTCAATATAAATAGCGGCTCGAATAGGGGTCCCTTCCCCCCTTCTCCCCCCCCCTTCTCTCCCCCCTTTCCCGAATTCCCTAGACTCAAAACAAACCCTTGGGGGTTTGGAGACAGATTTGGGAGAGATCTGATCTCAGGATTGTTTTGAAGGAGGAGGAACCCCGACTTTATCCAAAGTGGAGTGTTTTGGGGTCCAGGGGGTCTAAGGGGGGGTCATGCCCAAATCTGGGGGTCCTGCTACATCCCTCCGTCCCTCCCACTTCCTCATTCTTTCCTTCCAGATGGGGGTCTTTCTGTCTTTCTTCCTTTTCTTTCAATACCGCCATCTCTTCTTCTCCTCCCTCTATTATTATTATTATTATTATTATTATTATTATTTAGTGGAAAGGAATCAAAGTTTGATTTGGGGGGACGTGACAATTGAGGAGGGGGAAAAATAAAGAAGTATGCGATAAACAAAAGGGGGGCTCACACAGCCACACTCATCCCTCCGCCGGGCTTTTTCCTTCCTTTCTTTTTCCTCCATCCTTTGGAGAGGATTCCGAATCGATGGTGGTGACAAATGTTGTGGCTGGCGGGATTCCCGTCTGGAAGGGAAGGAAGAGGGAGGAGGGGGGGGCATGTTTGGGGACCGAGGGGACCCCAAGCTTTTCCCCTCCCTCTCCCCCTCTTTTCATTCTTTCTTTCCTGTCTGTCTCATTCCCCGATTCCGAGGCGCCTCATTAGAGATTTCACGCACGCAGCAGCCCCGGGTTGTAAATCTACCCCGAGACTGCAGCGCAGGGAGGGCGGCAGGGGGAAGCGGGACCCCCACATAGATCAAGGGGAGGGGGGAAAGGGGGCAAGCCGCGCACGTGCCCCCCCCCCCTTCCCCTCTTTCTATCCACAGTCTCCCGCACCAGGGATGAGGGGGTGATGCTCCAGTCTCACCCACAACCTTCCTCTTCCTCTTTCCAAATTTGGGGGAGCATTTCTCATGGTGCACCCCTATTTACTTACACCCACCCACCCCCAGATTTGGGGGAGCACTTCTCATGGCGCACCCCTATTTATTTACACCCATCCACCCAAATTTGGGGGAGCACTTCTTATGGTGCACCCCTATTTACTTACACCCTCCCACCCCCAAATTTGGGGGAGCACTTCTCATGGTGCACCCCTATTTATTTACACCCTCCCATCCCCAGATTTGGGGGAGCACTTCTCATGGCGCACTCCTATTTATTTACACCCTCCCACCCCCAAATTTGGGGGAGCACTTCTCATGGTGCACCCCTATTTATTTACACCCTCCCATCCCCAAATTTGGGGTAGCACTTCTCATGGTGCACCCCTATTTATTTATTTACACCCACCCACCCCAAATTTAGGGGAAACTTCTCATGGCGCACCCCTATTTATTTACACCCACCTCCCCCAAATTTGGGCTAGCACTTCTCATGGTGCACTCCTATTTATTTACACCCACCCACCCAAATTTGGGGTAGCACTTCTCATGGCGCACCCCTATTTATTAACACCCTCCCACTCAAATTTGGGGGAGCACTTCTCATAGTGCACCCCTATTTATTTAAACCCACCCACCCAAATTTGGGGGAGCACTTCTCATGGCGCACCCCTACTTATTTACACCCTCCCACCCCTAAATTTGGGGGACACTTCTCATTGTGGACCCCTATTTATTTACACCCACCCACCCAAATTTGGGGGAGCACTTATCATGGCGCACCCCTATTTATTTATACCCACCACCCCCTAAACAGACACCACACCCTTTCCTATAAAGATACCCCACTCCAGTTCAGAGCTGGGGTTCAACCAAAATAGTGTCTCCCTCTCCCTCTCAATGTCTCCCCAAGTCCAGAGATGCCCCTTCCCTTAATGTTTTCCTTATCAATCTTGATCACGCATAGGCAAACTTGGAAGATCTGGAAGGAAATCTCCACTAAAGAAGATAGGGTCCAAAAATAAAGGTGGGGTTGAGAGAAAATTCTGTTTCCAGACAGGTTATGGGCCCAGGAATGAAAGTAGAAGGAAAAGGGACCATTGGGTCAGAGTTGGGGGGCTTCAGAAGAATCCAGAAAGGAAAACAGGGTCCCAAAAAGGCAGGGAGCAGCCAGGCTTTCAAACTACAAGGCCATTCAATACTAATCAAGGTGGCCAATTGCAAAATTCGCACTTGCCTTAAGCCGACAAGAATTCTTTCTCCCACCCTGGACATTATTCCACAGATATATAAACCCCACTTGCCTTGTTTCCAACAAACCTCACAACCTCTGAGGATGCTTGCCATAGATGCAGGCGAAACGTCAGGAGAGAATGCTTCTAGAACATGGCCATACAGCCCAAAAAACCTATAACAGCCCAGTGATGAAAGCATGAAAGCTTTGAAAATACAGGTAGTATTGGAGTTAGAAGTCTGCTTCTAGAAGGGTTAGGGGTCAGGATTGGGGGGGGGGGGGGGGGGGAGACATCAGAGGACCTGAGAGTGTTAGTAATGGTGGGAGTTGCAGTCCAAAACATCGGGAGGTCCCAAGTTGGACCATGGCTGCTCTGGATACACCCCTCAATCCCTAATCAATCTTTGCCCTCTCAAAATAATTTTGGTGGGAGGAGATTGATTAGGGATTGAGGGATGCATCCAGAGCAGACCTGGACCATCTTGGGTCCATTGATCTTTCCTCTCCTTCTCAGACTTATGGTCACCCCATGGATCTTCTCCCCTTCCCGCTGCATGCCCCCTATTAACCAAAAGCTGGGACTTTTCACCCTTCCCTCACCCAGATTCAAGTCACACCATCCATCTTTTCTCCCCCTGAGTCCAGTATTGGGGTCACCCACCCTACAAATCTTGCCTCCCTCCCTTTGCTTGCCCGTCTAGGCTCAGACTCAAGTCACCCCATGGATCCTTCCCCGCTTTCTCTGACTTGGAGCTTGCTTTTCCCTCTCAATTCCCCTCTCAGTTCAGAGCTGGGGTCACCCCACAGATCTGTCCCCTCATTCTCAAAATGCCCCCCTCAACCCAAAGCTGGATCTCTAGAAAGCTTTCTCTTATTTGCCTCTCAGTCCAGATCCTTCTCACCCCAAGGATCTTTTTTCTCTATCCCTCTACCCATAGCTGGGGTCCTCCCATAAGTCTTTCCCTTTCTTCTTCTAGTTATCCCATTCAGTCCTGAAATGGGGTCACCCCACAGATCTTTCCTCTGTTCCTTTAGATGCCCCCTCAACCCAAAGCTAGACTCCCAGAAATCTTTCCCCTCACCCTATTATTTGTCTCTCAGTCCAGATCCATCTCACCCCATGGATCTTTTTTCTCTATCCCTCAACCCATAGATGGGTTCCTCCCATAAGTCATTCTCTTTCTTCTTCTAGTTACCCCATTCAGTCCTGGACTGGGGTCACCCCACAGATCTTTCCCCTTAATCCAAAGCTAGATCCCCAGAAATCTTTCCTCTTGCCTTATTGGCCTCCCAGTCCAGATCCATCTCACCCCATGGAGCTTTCCCCCCATCCCTCTCCTTAGTCTTTCCCTTCTTCTTATAGTTACCTCATTCTGTCTTCAACCCACAGGTCTTTCCTTTTCTTCTTCTAGTTACCCCATTCAGTCCTGAACTGGGGCCACCCCACAGATTCTTCTCCCTCTAAATGCCCCCTCAACCCAAAGTTAGATCCCTAGAAATCTTTCCTCTTGCCTTATTGGCCTCCCAGTCCAAATCCATCTCACCCCATGGGTCATTTTCCTATCCCTGGTTGCTGCCCTCAACCCATAGCTGGGGTCCTCCCATTAGTTTTTCCCTTTTTCTAAGAGTTACCCTATTCTGTCCAGAATTGAGGTCACCCCATAGATCTTTTCCCTCTTCCTCTAAATGCCCCCTCAACCCAAAGTTGGATCCCTAGAAATCTTTCCTCTTGCCTTATTGGCCTCCCAGTCTGGATCCATCTCACCCCATGGGTCATTTTCCTATCCCTGAGTGCCCCCCTCAACCTATAACTGGGGTCCTCCCATAAGTCTTTCCCTTTCTTCTTTTAGTTACCCTATTAAGTCCAGAACTGGGGGGCACTCCATAGATCTTTCTTGCCTCCCCCATTATAGCTGCCTCCCCCATCACTGTCTCCAAAGCATTCCTCCTCGCCCACCACCTTGATTAGCATTTGATGGCCTGGCAGTGCCTGGGGCAGTCTTTTGTTGAGAAGTAGTTAGATTGCTCCAGGCACTGCCAGGCAATACAATGCTAATCAAGGTGGTCAGTTGAAACATTCAGACCTAGCTCCAGCAGACAAGAGTCCTTTGTCCCACCCTGGTCTTTCCACAGATATATAAACCCTTTTTCCTAGTTCCAACAGACCTCACTACCTCTGAGGATGCTTGCCATAGACGCAGGAGAAAATGCCTCTAGAACATGGCCATATAGCCTGAAAAAACCTACAACAACCCAAACCTTCAATGCCATCATACCATTAACAAGGGCAGACAATACATAAACAGAGGCAAAGGCTTCCCCCATCTTTTATCTCATCACTTGTGCAAATACTTTAGGATCCCCTCCATAAAGAAATCCTGGCTTTTTGCCTTTACAGAGTGCCTCTCCCCATCTCCATCTGTACCCACCCTTCCCACCTGCCGAATCCTTTTAATTTGGATGCCTATGGATTGGCTTTTAGGTTGACAAGATTGTGGTGGAGGGAGCCACACGAGGCCATCTAGACCCACCCCTACTTG